TTTTTTCCCGTAATCTTTCATCTTCTTTGTCTTCTTTTTCCTTCATTTTCAGATTTATTATTAGCTCTATTACTTAAATTATTTTTACATTACTAATAATAACCTTGAATAAGTATGTTCAAGGAAAAAGAAACTGAAATAAAAACGAACAAAATTGCTGCTGAATCCTTAATTATCATTGGTTGGATGATAAAATATGAAAATTTTTAGCTGGAACGTCTTTAAGTTCGTTCTTATTTTGTGCATTGTCGATCTAGAACTCTGTCTTCAACGGACCAATTTATGCTGCAAATTTTTGGTTGGTAATTAAAATGTTGGCTTGGAAAACTAAGCGGAAAAAAAAAACTCTGAAAAGAGAACAACGAAGAAAAAAAAAAAAAAAAAACAGAAGAAAGAAACTCATTAGTTTTTTGGCACTTCTGTCGCCTTGCGTCCACTCTGCCATCACTGGTTGAAAGCACTGAAGTCACGCCCACTTAAATGTGCGAGGCAACATTCGGAAATTGTCACGATTGTTTATGCCTGCTTTAGTACGACATTGTTTTTTGGGTGGCTGAACCGATTCAAATTGACAAATTTTTTCTTATATGTAACTTTAACCGGATATTGGAAACATGAAGGAAAATGCTGTTGTTCATAAATCTAATTGTAACCTATTTTTAGTGTTCTTATTTTACAAAGGGTTTTTCAACTATTAGTTAATCTGGGCTAAGATTTCAGTCCTGTTGGAAAATATAAACCTGAACAAGAAGTATCTGAATTGATAGATGCTATAACTTTTACAGCTTATATTTACGTAACAATTTTTTTTTTTGAAGAAACCTATTTGTGCATTGGCACTAGATGGGCCTCTGAGTGCAGTGTTCTTTCTGACGTTGGCTTCCAAATTTTTGCAGAAGAGATTCGTTTTTAATACTTGGAAGCTCCAGTTTCAGGGTTTGCAAAGGATTTGCGCTTTTCTATTGCAACCTGTAGTTTATCACTTGCAACTATCACTTCCTGATTTCTTAACTTCACAAAGCTTTTAGCAAAATAATTGCAGCAAATTCTTCAACTGGTGCCTCTCCTATGCACAATGGCACTTAGACCCTATCCATTTTCTACTGTTGCTAAACGCTTTAGAAATAGTTTTATGACTAATTTAGACTAGCAGCAAGGCAGATGAAATATATTATGGATACTGATTATAGCACTCTTAGAAAACTTTAAAGAAAAATTATTTTTTTGTCAGTTTCTTTTCTTATATTCTAAATATCTCTTGACAGCAGTTCTGTTACTTTTCTGTTTATTAAATAATGTTGTGGCAACATGGCATATGTAAAAATCTTCCTCAAACGGTGATTTCTCTTCTACCAATCAACGGTCGTGATTGTCATCAGAACAGAAGCTTTTGGTAAGCATTTTTATGTTGTAGTACTGTTAAAAACTTTACGGAATTTAGAAGAACAAATGCGTAGTAAGTGCAGGTTAAATTGCTAGTGAAACAACATTTTTTTAAAGCTCAAATATGAAATAATATTTTTTGAAGTTTCTGGACTTTGTTTTAAAAGTTTCATAAAATAATCATTTTGAAAAAACCTTTTTTTAATAAGATTATTGAAAAGGGTTGTTCCTTTGTAATGTATAACACTTTTAATAATGAAAACATCTAAGAAATATTTCGGAAAAACTGCAGCAACTGCCTTTGTATATGGCCTAAACGTTGCTTTTACCCGTTTGTCACACGGCGATAAAAAAAATCTTCTCATAATTTGAACACTGACTGCGTTAAAGCAAAAATAAAAGCAGCATAAGCGGTTTCTTTGTTTTTTTTTTAACTGTTTATATTAGTTACTTTATGATAACTGTACAGCCAGTTGTGTGAGATATACGCAACTGAAACTGTTACTGTTAGAAGTTTTTATCAACGAAATGTTCATAGGACCCTACTGGGGTAAACTAAGGATGCAACACTGGCCGCTCTACTTGTTAATCTGGTCATAAAGCAATAAAAGACTAGGTTTCCTTGAAGTTTTTTTGTTAAACTTTACCTTCTAATGTTTTTGGTTTCTTTTTCTTCTTTTTCGCGCAACTATTTTTCCTGGATTTCTCTACACATTAAAAATTTATGAGCAAACTGTAAATGAGCTGGTGCAGTAATCTTCAAAATAATTTATATTATCATAGAAATTGCTCTCCGCATGTAATAAATTCCACAGTTTACCCTTGGTTGGGCAACGAAAGTCGGAAGTTATAAGTTGGCCTACACGGACACTACCACACAGAAACCGATGCGGAAACTTACAAGAACAGAATAAAGGCAAAATTAAACTGGTTCTGCTGAGATCAAGGTTTTCATTGACTGCAACACAGCTAGAAAACTTTTCATTGAAGTTGGAGAGGAGACCGCTGAAAGATTAATATAATTTCTTGATGTTCTTTACTTTGTCTGCTTAGGAAGAAAGCTGTATATTAGACCATGACAAAATTCTTCCGCTAACCCGTGGTGTTTCCAATTCGTTTGTTGAAATGTTGATATTATTCGTTTAAGCACTAATGTTTAATTCGATAGTCTCAATGTAATTAAAGAATCCTTTTATGTTAGGTTACAATGGTGAGACAACTGACGGTTTTATCCGCATTATTATTCTTGACTGCTTATGTGCACGGTCAATTCCACGCAGATCCGTACGCATATGAAGGTAAAATTTTCTTCTGTTCCTTCTCCTGTTGATAATTCTAATGTTTTTTCTACGTGGTTTTTCGGTGACATTTCCATTTTAGCTGTTTATTTAAAAACCCATTTTAATAATCTTTTGCTAAATGACGCTTCTTCAATCTTTTTAACATCGTAAAGGCCACTGATTACCGGCTAAAAATTTTGAAAAATTTGATTGATCTTTCTAAAAGGTCATCATATATTTTAGTTAAAATTTAGTCTTTAAGCTTGATAAAATGTTCTTATAAACTTCTAAACAGTAGTTTTTTTTTATTATAGTAATAAAACTTGCATTTAAATCTTTCTCGTATATCCAGCGCTATTCCAGGACAGTTTAACGGTCTAACAGCTTTAAGTAAATATGTCGTTCAGACATAAGCGATTAGGCAAAAAACTGTTTGGGGGTCAAAATTTTAAAAACGTTATATTAATTTTCTTATAAAAATAGGACTTGCTGTAATACATTATTTGATCAGCAAACTGACCAACTAAACATAGTCTTTATGAGAATTTTTTGAATTAGCTGAACATTGACAATAGGCTACGTATTGCAGATATAAACGAGATGTTAGTTTGCATTTTAGTTGTTATTAGCTTTATAATTTTCCTGCAATAATGTCGTTTGTTCAACCATTTCTTTAGGTTGAAGGTGCCCAATAATTTTAAAAATTATACAAGAAGAAAAAACTTTTTTTTTATTTATTTTTTTAGACATTTTTTATTTTGGGCTTCATCTTCATCCAAATGTTGTCGGAAGTAAGCGTAATTTCGTTAAACTAGTGTTTTTTTTAGAACACAAGGCCACTTTCACTGTGGCATCATTTAGTTGTCACTCTCTATGTTAACTAAGCTCAAAAGGTTTACCCAAAACATATGAAAAAATGCTTTGCAGTAGCAAAAAAAATGAAGAAAAAGCAGTAACTCTAACCTAAAAAAATCGTCAAATAATTACATTCCCAAATTATTTTTTACATTTTTTACACCGATTGCATTAATTTGTGATCAAATTTTCACTCAAAAAAAAAGGAAAATTATTACCGTTTTACATATTATGCTGAAGATATTTAACTACGTTTACTAAGTAATTAAAAAGTCCAATAAAGTTTTCCAACGAATAAAGGTGCACAAACGACAGTGTTTTAAAATGAGAAGAAGAAAGAACAGGAAACAATCAACTGGTTGATCATAATTGAAAAAGCAGTTAAAAATTTTTGCACTTAAAACTTCAGGAAGTTCGGTTAAAAATTTTTATAGTTTATTTCTTACAGACAAACACGGTGAATGATAAGCAATAAGTTGCTGCCCTTTTGCTATCTTGTTCGCCTTCTTTTTTTCCAGCTTAATTGTTTTCTTGTCATCAGTTAAACGAAAAAAAAGAGAGAGGAAACGTAACTTAACGGATGGCTTAACAATACTCTTTATTTAGAGCACGTTATCATTAGTAAAAGCAAGCGGAAAACGATGTTTTTTGTTTCCTTCGTTGCAGATTATTCACGTATCAAACGAGCTCGGTATAATTTTGGCAACAGATATAATGTGCTCAGTGATACATTCGGTGGAGAATTTGACAACTATTATTCGCCGATGACCAGCGACGATGAAATCCCAGTACGTCATAACCGCGATCACTACTATCGTTACAATGCGCTACTGAAGAAGCCAACAATTGGTATGCGTCTGGTACGACCTCGATTATTTTGATACATCGCCAACTTTTCGAGTACCTTTAGCCTGAGCAATTTTTGTCTTAAAGTCGTGTTCTTCTTCTTCAAACTCCTCTCTTTGCTTGAACACTGTATGTGATCAGTGACAAATGATGCTTTCCTGAATTCTTTTTCACCTCCATGCAAATTTCACGCATTTTAAATTATTCAGTTCTATTTATTTTTCTTTCTTTTCTTTTTGTTTATAAACAAGAAAACAAAAAAAAAAAAACGGAAACATAAAAGAGGCTCATCGTTTGATAACTGTTTGTCTAACCATTAGAAGTATAACTAGTTGAAGAAATTTGACTGCTGGTACTGTAAATTGAAAAATCATGTGATAAACAAAGAAAACAAAAAAGCAAATAGACAGAATTCATCGTCTCTCTACTGTACGGTAGTTACTATAATGTCCAAATAATGCCAATAGTGATAATAATGGTTATTATGATGATGATTACAATGATGGTGGAGATGTTGATAATGATGTTGATGATGATGATGATGACAGTAATGATAATAATGACAATGATGATGATAATGATAATTTAACATCTGTGTTTGATGCTGACAGTGAATAGGAGAAAGTCGTTGCCGAGAGTCAGTTTTGATGCAAAAATTAAGCGCACGAAGCTGTTGGTTGACTGCACAGCGCAAACAGGTTTGCTTTCCTGATGTCAAAGAACTAAGAATCTTCCAAGTTTACAAAGCATATCCAGTCATCTTCTCATTATTTATGGCTTCTTCTGAACCTTCAGCCTACTCCAACATCACCGTCGTTTTTTCGTTCACATGACATTTTTTTCTTTTTTTAGCTTTTTCTGTAGAGGCAGCTTTTTTCGTCATTTCCGTCTACCTAATCAGAAGTATGTAAAAAAGGTTAAATTCTGTTCTTCCGTTGCTTCTCTTCTTCCAGATCAAATTCTGCACGGGTCGTCGTAAAAATGTGAAAAATTTTTTTTTCTTGTTAAACCTTTTTTAATCTTCTTTTGTAAAGTAACTTATAAGTGTTTTACCTTCTTTTTTTTCTGCTTGACTATGTTATAGAGAAGAAAAGCAAATTTAGCCTTACCAAGTCAAGTGAATAACTTAAAATTATGCTGAGAATTAGCCAAAAATAAAAACAAACTATAACTAGTCTGTTTTTTTTCGACGTAATCATTGTCTTATGCTTTATTATCTGAGTAATACCAAATATGCTATGATTTCAAAACCTTCTGCTTCTTTTTTTTGGATTTTATTGATAAGGTATCTAACCGTTCTGTATTACTGTGTATTTAGATGGAAAAAGATGCTGAAGTAGAATAAAACAATGGTTTGGAAAAAAACTAATGAGGAAAAAGGTTTTCCATGAAGAAATGTGCAGTCTGAACTTTGTTTGTGTATATCTTTTTTTTTTTGCTTTTTTTTTGTCAAAAGATCAATAGCTAAAAAGAATAAAAAAAAAGGTAAAAAATTTTTTATTTTATTGGTTAAGAATCAAAAACAAATAAGTTACTGAAAAGATTTAAAACTTTGTTTGCATTAAACTTCAAAAAAATTGTCAACAAGAAAAGTGAAAAATAGACTGTTTGAAGAATTCAAAAAAATTTTCAAACTATTTAAACAGCACAAGCACTGAGTATAACAAAAAAAAAAAGAAAATTGTGGTATCAGTTATGTTTTGAAGGAATATCTATAAAAATTTTGCTCAATAATTTTATCATGAAAATTAGCCAGTTGATATTTTTTTTGGTCAAAATAGCAATGAAGAATATTACTGCTGTTAAGGAATGATGCTATTTAATCGTTGCCTTTTTATTGCTCTTTTTGTCATCTTTTTCATAAAATTTATAGCAAATTTTGAAGATTTCAAAGTTATGTGCATTTAAAATGTTGCTGCTTAGTTGATATCACTAAAAAAACTTTTTGACAAATGATTGTTTTTTACCAATTGCTTTT